ACTTAAGTCGACGTTTTGAGTCTAGATCTGAGCTCTAGACAAAAGTCCTTAATGGATTAATGGAGGAGTGAGAATAGGTCGCATATGTTGAGTACGTTGGGCGTACTCAACTGCTTTGGACTTTAACTTTCATTGATTTCCGTTAACCATTGACTTTTTGACTAAGTTTGATTTTGGGTCAAACTTGAGGATTTTGGGATATTTATTAATATTCTATCTGGTTTTGGTGTTAGTGGATTTGTGGTTTCAAGCAATGCAGAAAAGGGATCGTATCGTAGTGTTTCAGAGTTCTTCGACTCAGGTGAGTTTCGCCTCATTGTACCGTGGTTCGAAGGCACCAATGCCAGCCCACTAGGTTTCGTTATCTTTTAGTATTGGAGAGTCATCAGGACCATATGTAGCCATGTAGGATTCACTGAGGACTCGTGATCTAGGATTCTTGTGTGTTCCTTATTTGGTTGTGGCTCTAGAGTAGGATTACCTGTCCAGGTGTCTCTCCCACCTCTAAGTATTTATGGTTATGAATTCCTTTATTGGCTAGGTATCCTTATGTATAGTATAATGTTGTGTTGTAGTGATCTATTAGATATGTGCATATATATCCTTGTATGATAGGATGTTGTAGTAGTGGTATTCTAGTTAGAGTGCTAGTAGACTAGATATCATATATTGGAGTGCCCTAGGGGCTATATGTAGTCATATATGATAGCCTGAGAACTCTTTATCTAGGCTTTCTTGCATGTTCCTAGTTTGGTTGTGGCTCTAAAGTAGGATCATCTGTTTGGGTGGCTAACTCACCTCTAGTTACTTATGGTTACGCATTTCATGGAGCATAGCTGGTAGTGGGAAAATGTGTTGTGAGAGGACTAATAGGCGGTAGTGAGCTGTATGATTGATATTTGCCTATATTATATGCCTACTTGATCATTGACTATTTATATGTCGACATATAGTGATAGTGGGTTGAGGTGGTCCTACTTTGTGTTGTAGGCCAAGATACTCAATGCGGGATGGTTGTGAGTCGTAGGCACGAAGGCTATGGAAGAGCTGTTGGGTTGAGGCGATAGTCTAACACCCCCTCTGGCATAACATCACTCCTCAATCTGCTCTTTAGAACCTTCAGATGACTCCATGTATCAAGTATGGGTCCTCTGCTTTCAGTAGTACGGGCCCATACTACCTGCCACATCTACCCATACTTTCCACACGGACCATCCCAGAGCTTCTAAATAGCTGCTCGACCTGTTCTTTCACCAATCCCATCGCACGCTCGCTCCCCAGCGAAAGTCTCTATTCTACAAGCGCACTCATCTGGGTAGGGTTATTCCCTAGGATCTTCCGTTTTCCTCCCACTTCTTGCTATTAGCTGCTGAAGAGCTCCTAATGATGCCAGCCATCTACCTCCTGAATATCGTCATATTCACTTGGTAGCTGACTCCCATCATCGAGAGTTCCACAAAGCACAAAGCAAGCAGCATTCGAGCATCGAAGAATACATAGGACTCCCTCTCTGTGATGACTCCACCTTCTCAGCTCATCCTCGAAAGTACCACCGAACTCTGTAACTCTACCCCTCATGTGTTCTAACTGGATACTCTCACTCATCACATACTCAAAAGCATAACACATATAACAACGAGTCCTAGGCTAAGGCATCACAAATCAGGCCACTCTAGTCCTAACATATGAAATACCTAGCCTGTCTCTAGCATGAAATAATATCTCATAAAGTGCATCATACATATCTCATAACACCAAAAATAAGGGTATTTTGGGAAATCACCGTTCGGGCTCTGGCTGATTGTACACACTGTTCCTTCTTGTTTTCTCTTTGAACTCTTATTCACTTTTAGAAAATTATTTCTTTAAAAACTTTTCTTACTTCCTCAGTTTGAGTCCAGATTTACCCGAAGGCGCGTCCGAATCCCTCAAACCAAGGCTCTGATACCAACTTGTAACACCGAAAATTTCAAGACAAAATTTTCATTTAAAATAATCATTTTATTCTTAGAAACACTTGTTTAAAATCTCATTCATAGTCGATTTACAAAACATGATTCCATTTTCACTTGCATAGAAAACCAGGATCCTCCAAAATATGACTCTTTCTCTGGTGTGTACAATCAAGCCGGTGCCGTCCCGTGATACTGAAAGAGACCTGAAAAACATTACACAAAACACTGTAAGCACGAAGCTTAGTGAGTTCCCCAAAATACCACACATAACACATATTAGCCACTCGAGGCTATAACTCTATGGGTCCGTGCACCCAAACTCTGTGAACCCTCAGGTTCTAACTCTGGGAACCTTCCGGTTCCAACTCTATAAACATGCACAACATAAATCACATAGAAATAATGCAGTACAACACATCACATACAAATAGCATACAAATACTCTGATCACATAACTCTGGTTACCTACTCAAGGTAAAGTATAGTGAGAAGACTCACCTGGCAAGCAGAAAGCAGATATCCCCACACTTGAATCTCGAACTCGCCACCGCCTAACACGTAAGGCAAATACTCTCATGAATATAACTCTCGAGGCTAGAATAAATCCTCTCATAACACCCTCTTATGGGTAAAAGTCTATTTTATCTCTCTTGGCCCAAGGCCACATCGCTGTCCAAACCCTAAAAGTCAACGGCCAACCCTTGGTCGAAATCGAAGTCCTCAGTCTAGGTCAACCCCGACTGACTCTACTCGCCGAGTCAACCCTGTGACTCGTCGAGTTCCCATAATCAGAACTTCCCCAATCCGCGACTCAACTCGCCGAGTCACCCCGAGACTCGCCGAGTCCCACCACTCTGAGTCCACCCACACCCAACTCACCGAGTCATCCCTTGACTCACCGATTCTCGACTCAACCAGGAAATATTTGGGACTCTTCGACAAGACTCGTCGAGTCCAAGAACAGACTCGCCGAGTTACGGCTATCTTCAACCTACTCGCCGAGTTGTTCATACAACTCGCCGAGTTCCAGGCCATCTTCATCCAACTCGTCGAGTACACCCATGTGACTCGCCGAGTACCACCGTTCTGAATCCATTCCGAAGCATTCCAGGCCATGCAACTGCTCCAAAACCTAGATCTAGTCTCCTACCACTCATCCATCACGTAAAGTGGCAAACTTTACGTGAATCCAAAGAGATCTAAGCCATTTGCACATTGGGCTCGGATTTGGGACAAGATGGCTCCATCAACCACTCACAAACAGGGACTTTCATGCACTCTAGACCTTCTCCCTTCCAGATCTGAGGTAGCAACCTCAGATCTAGCCTCTAAACTCCAATACATCCAAAGATATGATCTCCAACACCCCCAAAATGATGCATCTAAGAAATAGCAACTCAAAAGAACGAGATATTACCTCAAAGGAATGCCCCAATTGAAATGAGACTCGAATCCAAACAAAGCTCCTTGCTCCAAGCCTTCAATCTCCCAAAATTCCTTCACAATTACTCCTCCAAGCTCCAATCCATTCAACAATGGAGCTTCTTCGTGATTTAGGGTTTTCTGGGGCTCAAGGGGTGATAAAGAGGCTGGGAGGAAGACATAATGATCATTATATAAGGCTCAACCCCGGGAATTAGGGTTTTCTCTACTCAGCGCCTACTCGCCGAGTCCAATACACTGACTCGCCGAGTCGGCCACTTAACACGCGACCAAGTCGCGACTCTACTCGCCGAGTCCACATATGGACTCGCCGAGTCGCTCTTTCCCAAATTACTCTTTTAGCCCTTCAGCTCTACTCTTGATATTTCGGGATGTTACAGATAGGCCAACAAACCCTGGGTATTCCATCCCGATGGCTAATTGGACCCGTTGCATGTCAACATTCTAGTCCGAGGACTAATTGGGTATGGCTTTCCAATCCGTTGATTGTGGGCTGTTATGCATGCTTGTATGTTTCATATGGAGTATTTTGGGGGTAACTCACTAAACTTTGTGCTTACCCAGTTGTTTATGTTTTTCAGGTTTTATCGGTGATCATGGGAAGGCGAAGGCGGGACTATACAAACTCATCATCAACATTGAGGATTTCGTGTCTCTTATATAGCTCTGGTTTTCAATAAATGTATTTTGGAATACACGGTTTTCTTAATAATAGATTATTAATTAGGAAGTTTACTCTTACAAAATGAAAAAATTTTGTTGTGAAAATGAGACGTTACATGTCTGTTACTGTTACAAAATTTATGACAACATATCAATTATATATTTGTGTTAGTCAATATTTCAAATATAGATCTTGATGCCCGATTAATTAGAGACTAATCGATAGGTGGCCTTAAACTGATTATGATTAGGGCTAGTCGGATAGCTTAATTGGCAATGGTCAAATCTGAGTTAGGGGGTCCTAATTGATCCCAGAATGCGTAATCGGTCAAAATTTGAAAATTTAAAAATTTCAAATATTAACCCAAACTTTTTGAATTTTTATATTTTTAAAATTTCATAATTTCAAATTGTCTAATATTATACCTAAATTTTCAAATTTTAAAGTATTAAACCAAAATTTTCAAATATTCAAATAAGGATATATTAACTTATTATTATTTTTTTTAATAATTTATGGTCTTCGATTAATCTATGTTTAGAATCATGGTCTTAAAATACATATTTCACTTTATGAGATGGATTGATAGAGTCAAATTGCTAAAAAAAACATTTCATATTATACTTTTTTTGCTAGTTCTAGGTATAACCCTTGCTTTGATAGGTTCGAGTGGTATAGAAAAAATGTTTACATCTGTTGTATCGTGGGAAACAAACGTCTGATCAACAAATTATTTTAAGGACATTGTATTAAAAAAAAGCCTCATTAATTTCTTATTTTGTTTGTTTTCATATATTTCCATAATATTTTCCGTTCAGAATTTAGTGAAAGTATGCCCGACAAACAACCTTCTTGCAACTCCGACCGACTGGCTACTTCATTGATCATATTGCTCTGCCTCTGTTTGTGTATGTGTGTATTCATGTTTTACAAATGGCAAATATTGATCGGTAGATTTAAGCCAAAACTCAATGCCCTCCATCTCAACCTCACTAACATCTCCTTCATTGTACTTGATAAATTCTCCCAACTTGATCTCCATCCACCCGTCCTTTCTCCTTTGATTAAACCTATCATTTTTCATACCATATTTCAGTAGCCTCTTGTATTTGAAGATATACATTTTCGGTCTCCATTATTACACCACCAAAAATCACCGTTGTTTTAGCTGGCACAAAAAGTCCTTCATAATTGCTAGTAGTTCGAAAGACAAGGTACGCTACATATGTTGTTTATCCTAACAACAGTGCATATGCTATTTTGCCATGGATGGCCATTGCCAACGTACGTTTTTAGTATACAAACCGACCGAAACCTACACAAATGGAAACATATGTTCAGTTAGACTATATTCCAATATATATATATATATATATATATATATATATATTATATATATATATATATATATATATATATATATATATATATATATATATATATATATATATATATATATAGGAGATTGGACCAAGTATATCTTGTTAAAGCTATTTTTGATAACAGTGCAATCCATGATGTATGTTTGCTATTGTATAGAAATGACCCTAAAAGGGAAAAAGAGACCATGATTTAAGTGTATGTCCCCATTCCCAATAGTTAGGGTTATCTTGCCATTCAAATAATAGCTCATTGGCGTCCAACATATAGCACTTTTTCCCACTCTCCATATCTAGCTGGAAGCTCTATTTATAGGATTATGTGAGACCAAATCTTACTTCGTAGAAGTGTTTTTTAACAATTATATCCAAAAAAACATTCTCCTTATGTTGCATTGAATCATTGGATTTAAAAATTTCCAATGATCAATTAGTTGACTTTTGAGAAATCTTGGTTTACTACAACAATCAAGCACAAAGACACGTAGGTTATATACACACATTTAAAAAGGAAGAAGGAAAGAGGGTATTGCAAGAATGATCGATTTACCAGGTAGCCACCATCAAGGAAAATACGTGAGTCCGATAAGCGGAAGTATAGAGGCTTTTTAGAGCGAATATCCAGCGGAGGAACCGCCCTCACAATGATTTCCTGGTAATCCGGTGACAGAAGTTCCTCCCAAAAGTCTTTCTGCCACTGAGTTGATTCCTTTGGAGATGTCTGACATTTGCCCGCTTCTCTAGGTGAAGTTAGTGATAGTATCTCGAAATACTTGCTACTTCGTTCATCAAGTGTATGTATGTGTGTTTTGCAACAAGTAGAGGGGCATAACCGCCTATGATAATATGTTGGGTAATGTGTTCTACTTTATATTGGTTAACAATATTCAATGGGCTTACCTAAAGTTAGCTAAAATAAATTTTTACCGTACATTAATTATTGAATTATTTTTATTATTTGAAATTGTATTGTTTTCTTAAAAAAATTTGTTATAAGTAGTTAAAAAAATGTTGATTCCCATAACTTTTTTATTGTATATTTTTATTTACAAATAAAAACTTACTATAATAATAAGGACTTTTTTATCTTGTTCGTCATCAGCCTTCGAGGATATTTAATTCCTCAGGAGCAGGCCAGATATCTTTACATTTCCTAATGTGTTTATGGAAGAAAGATAAGATGTTTTTGTTTCGAGAACGTATTGTTATAAAAAAAAAACAAAAGATGATAGTCAAAAAATTAAAATATGCATTGCATTGAAAATATGTTTCCAGAGTGTATTGTTATAAACAAAAGACTTACTTGAAAATTCAACGCTTCTGTAATCGCCTTGATGATCTTATCCATCGTAGGGCGTTTTCTTAAGTCCAAGTTAATGCACTCATGTGCAATTTCGTTAATTTTATGAAAAGACCTCAAACCATTCTCATCTTCGATAGTGGGATCTTTTAACTTGTCAAGTCTGTCAAAGAGTCCACGATCGTCATAGTAGCTTCGGACTATGTCGATCAGAAACAGTCCTTGGTCTTCTAAGGGCCTTACCTTATAAGCCATCATCCCACTCGACACTTCAAACATTACGACTCCAAATGAGTATATTTCAGACTCTTTAGAGAGCCTACTTCTTTCGTTGTAAACTGGTCCATGTAAAACCTAGTACCAGAAGGCCTTGTACGGATGACGGTATCTTGTTGATTTCTTGGACTTAGTCTTGACAAACCAAAATCACATATATTGGCTTCCGGATTAGCATCTAACAAAATATTTGCGCTCTTCAAATCTCTATGAATTACTCTGCTATGCTCCCCAACACCATAGTGAACTACTTTACTCCTATTGCTTCCCTTAAGAATATCTTCAGGCGTTGTTCCCATGTTAGGCAAGGCTTCCTATATGGGTCTCGGAGATGATAATCAAGGCACCTGTTACTAGTATACTTGAAAACTATAATTTTCTCATTTGCATCATCACAGTAACCAACGAACGGGATGATGTTTGGATGGTTGAAACTTGAAACCAACTTGACTTCATTATGGAACTCGTTGGTTCCTTGATAACTATTTGGATCAAGGGGTTTGATGGCTACTAAGCTAGCTGGTTTTTCCAGTCGTTAGAGAGTTCTCCTCTATAGACCGTAACAAATCCACCATCTCCGACCAGAGTTTCTAAACTGAAGTTTTTTGTGGCTCGAGTGATCTCCGCTAGTGGAATTCGACATTTGTTTTTTTTTTTTATTGGTGATTAAGTATTATAGTGGTAGCAGATTTTCTGTGAATATATAGGGAGAACTGAGTTTACTTTGAAGCGCATTACAACAGTTCACTAGCATGAGGTGCTTATTCATCACCCAACCGAAGTGAACAGACCCCCTCCTAGGATGCTCTGATGTGGGATGGTGGCAACTCATTTCATATCAATTTTACATAGTTCTCCTTTATTTTCGCAACTTCTGTTTTTTACCTTATGGTATTTTTAATATATCAAGTTAGTTTTCTTAGAGAGAGTTTAGGGTAAATTGTGTGAGGAAGAAGATGGATCTCTTCCTTGGGCAGGAAGAGATCCTTTTATACCTGTTACTAATGGAACGTGGGGACTCTACCCCGTGGGTGTGAGATGTGGCATGCTCTTACTGGGAGAGGTGTGTCCACTCTTAACTAACTGCCAGATGACGTCACTTATGGGCGTCATCTAGCTCTTTGTCACGACTTGATTGATTGTGAGTTAATGAGAGGATCGCGAGGAATATTCTTTCCTTGTGAGGGAAACTTAACCGTCATCCTGATGTTGGATTACTTGCGCCAAGATTGGTCCTGAGCATGGTCCTGGCTTGATAATGTCCCGTCAATGCTTTCCGTTAATTTTAACGTAGCCGTATACGATAACATTAACAATCATTAAACTAAGGTAGTCGGGTGAATTGTAAAAAGAGGTTAGGTGAGTTTTTAGCCATGCTAACATAGGGAGGAGAAGGAAAAGGAAACAAGTTTATAAGTAGAGATGATTTCAAGCCGTGGAAGACATATCAAATCAATTCTCTCTCTCTCTCTCTCTCTCTCTCTCTTGCACAAAGAGGGGTGCAAATACGAACAAAATTTTGTTAGGTTCGCTAAACTTGTATACGAGTGTGCATCATATGGCTACTAAATATCACCGGTCGACGAGAATAGTTCAGGGGCTTTTAAGAAAATATTCCCTTTTTTGTAACTGATTATATATATATATATATATATATATATATATATATATATATATATATCCCATTACAAAACATGCATAAAACATAATATTCATCACATATTGTCGGTTATGATTTAATTGTTAATGACAGCTATCAGTTTTTTCTGTTGCATAATTTATGACAACATGTCGATTATAGATTTCTCTTAGTATACATATTGCAGTCTATGTGATAGATTGAGAGAGATAAATGTTAAAAAAAAAAAAAAAAAAAAAAAAAAAAAACCCTTACATCTTCTACTTCTATTTTTGTTTTCTTGCTTCGTTGAAGGTACAATATTGGCTTTGCTAGGTTTGTTAGACTAGAAAAACTGCTTCGAAATGTTGTAACATGGAAAACATGCGTTTGATAGCGGGCGAATTTTTTTAAGGACATTGTATCAAACACAAGTGTAATAACCGGTTTCGAATTATTTCATTATTCGGGGCCTTGACCCGAAGATCATCTATCATAAGGCTTTAGGCTTTGGGAGGAAAGAGAGATTTAGACCCCTTTGGATGTGGGTAATGTAGATTATGTGATTCGAGAGTTTGGTTGGTGCTTTGGGGCCCAAGGGTATAATCATAAAGTGATAGTTTGGGCCTTATATGACATTTGAATTTAAGTTCAAAAAGTTTTTAGGCAAAGGAGAGTTTATAGGGTGGTAGAGCTTCTCATTATCTTTCTGTGGATGTAAGGATCGTCGAAATTGGAGTTGAAACGAAGAAGTTATGACGGTTTGAAGTTAAGACGATATTTAGGTTAGTCGTATATGTTGGGCGTAAGTTGAGTATGCAGGGCGTACTAGGACATCCCTAGTACGATGGGCATAAATTAAGTATGCAGGGCATACTAATGCATCCCTAGTATGTTGGGGGTAAATTGAGTACATAGGGCGTACGCGATTAGTGCCTAAACCCTATTTTCGTGGTTTGAACCCTATTTAAGTTCCTTAACTTCCCCAAAACCATTCCATTCTCATCCTCCACTTCTCGAACACCCTCCCTTGAAACCCTAACCCTAATTTAAGCTTTGTGAGAAAAAAAATAAGGTATTTTTAAGTGCTTTGGAGTGTTCTTGGTGCATCTTGGAGAAGAAAAGGCTCATTGGAGAAGTGTTGGTTGTTTTGGAGCTTATAGATCCAGACTTTGTTCACCTTGATCTATCTTCTAGAGGTATAACGTTTGAATCTTGATGATGCATTTGATAGATCTAGTTACTCTTAGGTGTTATGAGCTTTTGGTTACGTTAGTGCATAAAGTTTAGATCTTGAAAGTTTGTGACCCTGTTATGGATAAAATTGGAAAGTTTATCCATCTAAACATCATACTAATTCAGATCTAAATGCTTAAGACTTCGAATTAATGGATTATGTTGGAAAATATGTACTTTTGGTCCATTTGAGACTTAAAGACTAGATCTTGGTTGCTTGGACCATTCTAATAGATAAAGTTGGAAACTTTATCCATTATAGAGTTATTAGGAACCATAAAAATGCAATCTTGATGTGCTATATTGGACCATCCATGAGTTAGGGTTCTTATTATGGGTTTTATTGTTCAAAAACAAGTATTGGGTCCTATAAAGACATGCTAAGGATTAAAGTTGCCAACTTTATGTATTAAGACATTATTTAGGATTAGATATGAGAAATGGACTTAGTGGCTTAACCAATTAAGCACTTAATGGTGATAGTGGGCTGCCGTAGAGTACGTTGGGCGTACTCAGCTCGTACGCAGCGTATACTGGCCAAAGGCGGCATGCGTTGGGCTTTAATCTGAGTACGCTAGGCGTACTCAGCAGCTTTTGACTTTCATTGACTTTTGTGTTTTGGGCCATATTTGGAGTTTGGGTGTCCTTTAGGAATTGGGCCACTAATGGGCTTTTAGTGCCATGGAGTTTGGTCCATGGTTTTGGACTAAGTAAGAAAAATGGTAAAAATGATCTTTTTCCCTAGATATTAGACAAGTAACTTAGATTCTTGTTTATGGGTTAGGATCCAATTATTGATTGGATACTTATTTGATGATGTTAGCGTGAGGGTTTTTCCGAACCAACAGACTGAGATTTTATCCGAGTGTTCTGCAGCTTGAGGTGAGTCTCCTCACTATACTATAGGTCGAAGGCACCAATGTCGGCCCATTGACATATGTTATATAAGAAGACCACTGAGTCGCCCTTGGCATTTGTATGAAAGATCGGGAGTTGTTCAAGAGTAGGAATCGAACCCTGGCAGATAAGTAGATAGTTGTATATATAGATAGTATGCTAGTGTTCTTTGTGATACTTGCATGGAAGACCAGGAGGTGGCTCTTGGCACTTGTTTGTAAGACCCAAGGTATTAGTCCCCAACTTGGCAAGGGAAGACCATGATACGGTTTGTGGCATAATAGAAAGACTATGGTTGGTACATAACATTCTCTTTTCTATGTATGATATGTGGTATTTTAGGGAACTCACTAAGCTTTATGATTACGGTTTCAGTTTATGTTTTAGGTACTTCGGTTTGAAAAGGAAGGGCCCGGCGTGACTGCACTGCATACACCCAAGTTTCCTCAATGTGATGATTTTGGGATTATACTTTGATGACTATTTTATTATAAAATACTTTTGAATGTTTGAATAAAAGATAATTCCCATTTTGATTGAATTAAAAATGAAAATTTCACCTTATGATTTTTGGAACCTTACAACAAGCCTCATCAATTTCTTATTTTGTTTGGTTTCGTACATCTCTGTAATATTTTTTGTAGAAAAGTTAGTGAAAGTATGCCCGGCTGACGACGTTCTAGCAATTCTGATGGCTGACGAGGTTCTGGCAATTTCAACCGACTGGCTACTTCCTTGATCATCTCATTCTCCCTATGTTTGTGTGTGTATGTGTAGTTTTCAAATGGCGAATGTTGATCAGTAAATGTGGATTTAGGGTGAATCTCAATGCCTTCCACGATAATACCACGCTTCCAATTTAAATGTTTAACCTCGTCAAAAGCCATCTCAACCTCACCAATATCTCCTTCATTGTTATTAATAAATTCTCCCAACTTGATCTCCATCCACCCATCTTTTCTCCTATGAGGAAACCTATCATTTTCTTGCCATATTTCACTAGCCTTTGGTCTTTGAAGATACACATTTTCGGTCTCCATTTTTAGCCCACAAAAGTTTACTATTATTTTAGCGGGGACAGAAAGTCCTTGGGAATTGCTAGTAGTTCGAAAGACAAGGTACGCTACATATGTAGTGTATCCTGACAACATCATAGATGCTATTTTCCATGAATGGCAAGCCAACATACATTTTTAAGTATACAAACCTGTGGAAACCTACAAAAATGAAAGCATATGTTCTTCTAGATTATACTCCAAGATATATAGAGGAAATGGGACCATGTGTAACTTGTTAAAGCTATTTTGCATAAGGGTGCAATGCATGCCAAACGCATTATAACTTGTAACATTATAACATGTATTGTTTGTTTGTTACTAGAAAATGACCCTAAAGGGACAAGAGAGACCTTGATTTAAGTGTATGTCCCCATTGCCAATGGTTAGGGTTATCTTGCCATTCAATTGATAGTTGCTTTGCGCCCAACATATAACACTTTTTCCCACTCTCCGTATCTAGTTGAATCTTTGTTTATATTCAGATTATGTGAGACCAAATATTTCTTAGTAGAAGTGTTTTTTAACAATTATATAAAAAAACACTCTCCTTATACTGCATGGTATCATTGGATTTAAAAATTTCCAATGGTTAATGAGTTAGTTTTTTGAGAAGTCTTCGTTATTACAACAATCACGCACAGAGATGGAAGAGGTTATATATACATATTTATAAAGGAAGAATGAAAGAGGGTATCACAAAGATGGTCGATTTACCAAGTAGCCATCATTGAGGAAAGTATGTGAGTCCGATAAGCAGAAGTAAAGCTGCTTTTTAGAGCCAAAATCCAGTGGTGGAACTGCCCTCGCAATGATTTCTTGGTAATCCTGTGGCAGAAGTCGCTCCTAAAAGTCATTATAATATTTCACTGAGTTGATTCCTTCGGATATGCCAGACATCTGTACACATCTCTATGTGAAGTTAGTGATAGAGTCTTGCTTCGTTCATCATGTGTGTGTGTTTTAGTATAAATAGCGGGGCATAACCTTCTTTGATAATTTGTTGGGTAATGTGATTTTTTTATATTGATTAACGATATTTAAAACGTTCTAATGGCAAATGATAAAAAAATGTTGATTACGAGGAATGTTTAAAATTTACAAAATCACCTAGCTATCCTTGTCAACAACCTCACGTTCAACATTATTTTGACTGAAAAAGATAAATATAGTAATTTTTTTTTGTTAAGTTTTTCACAGTAAGGTTATTAAGAAAAGTATTTACCAATTTACAAATTAAAAATGGAAGGGATATAGTGGAATTTTCATATTAAATTCGAAAGTAGCTATATAAATTTCCATATTATAAATAGTTTTTTGTATCTTTAAATAATATTTCATGTATCTATATAAAAATAATGTTAATATATCAATATATGTTTTTACATGACCTAAGCCTAAACTATAAAAATAAATAGTATTACAGATAGATAAAATACTTAGTAAAAATAGAGTTTTAAAAATGAATTGGCTATAGAAAATTTAAAATCCTATAACCCACCACTAAAATTAATTTATCTCAATTTTGACATTATTATTTTCTAACATTTCATTATTTTAATTCATGTAACAAAAAGTAATCATAATAAATGTTTTTAGTGTCAGAAAAACATAAGCTATTACTAATATATTCATTTTATGGAAAAAAAATATTAATAACTGTAGTTATTGATTATAATATTGATTTACTCATTTAATACAATAAATACTTTTTATATATATATATATATATATATATATATATATATATATATATATATATATATATATATATATATATATAATAAAAGTATTAATTAGTAGAAGTGAGTAATTTTTTATTAATAATAAAAATGAAAATACTACATAATGACATGTGGAATTTAAATAATTTAAAATTCCTCCGTAAAATGACATGTGCCAAAAGTGAGATATATCAAAATTACTATGTGTAAAACCTCTATATTATACGGATAGATTAAAAAATTAAATTTTAAAATTTAAATAATAAGCATTTTATAAAATAAAACTTTAAAATAAGAAATAAAAAAACATATTAATTCCAATTTATTATCATATTTATTATATTTAATATTTTACATATATAAGTAAGGTATTATGTGATTTTTAATTTTAAAAATTGAAAAAACCCATAAATTGACATGTATATATTATTTATTTAAAAAATACCATAAAATGACAAATGTCAAAATTAACGAAAGATTGACAAGTGGCAAAATTATTTTTATTTATTAGGGAAGACTAGTTGTGAGACCTATGGATTACACGGATTAATTAAAAAAACATTAAACATTAAATTAAAGTGTAAACAGGAAAATATTTTTTAATGTACAATTTTAAAATAAGAAATGAAGAAAAACATATTTATTGCAATTTAATATCATATGTATGATACTTAATGCTTTACATTTATAAGTATAGAACTTTAATTTTAAAAATTGTAACAAATTAAAAACTAAAAGGTTGATAATATTTATTTCAAAATACCATAAAATAACAAGTGTTATAACTCATGAGAGATTGACATGTGGCAAAAAAAAAAATCTTTAAGGAGGATTTTAATATGCAAATATATTTCCTTAAAAATATCAAACAAAAGACTTACTTGGAAATCCAACGCTTCCTCAATCGCCTTGATGATCTTATCCATGGTGGGGCGTTTCTTTCTGTCCATGTTAATGCACTCATGTGCAATTTCGTTAAATTTATGAAAAGATCTCATATCAATCTGATCTTTGATAGTGGGATCTTTTAACCTGTCAAGTCCGTCAACGAGTCCATGATCGTCATAGTAGCTTCGGACTATGTCGATTAGAAACAGTTCATTCGTATCTTTTAAGGGCCTTAGCTTATAAGCCATCATCCCACTCGACACTTCAAACATTACCACTCCAAATGAGTATATGTCGCACTCTTTAGAGAGCCTGCCTCTTTCGTTGTAAACAGGATCAATGTAACACCTTGTACCACAAGGCCTTGTACGAACAAGGGTATCCTGCTGATTTCTTGGACAAAATCTTGACAAACCAAAATCACATATTTTGGCTTCCATATTTTCATCTAACAAAACATTTGCGCTTTTAAAATCTGTATGAATTACTCTGCAGTGCTTCCCAAGACCAGAATGAAGGTAATTGACTCCTCTTGCTGTCCCCAAGCATATCTTCAGGCGTTGTTCCCATGTTAGGCGACTCCTCTTGTCTGGGTCATTGAGGTGATAATCAAGGCTTCTGTTAGTAGCATACTTGCAAACTATAATTTTCTCATTGCATCGTCACAGTAGGCAACAAACCGGATAATGTTTGGATGGGTGAAACTTGAAACCAACTTGACTTCATTATGGAACTCTTTATTTCCTTGAGAACCTTCAACATTAAGTCATTTGACAGCTACTTGCTGGTTTTCCCAGTGGTTAGAGAGTTGTCCTCTGTAGACCATACTAAATCCACCATCTCCGACCAGAGTTTCTGAACTGAAGTGTTTTGTGGCCTGAATGATCTCCGCTAGTGGAATTCGATATTTTTCTAGGTTTACCCTTGAAGTGGACATTGTTTTTTTTTTATATTGGTGATTAAGTATGGTTGTAGTATGGTAGCGGTTTTTCTGTGAATATATATATATATATATATATATATATATATATATATATATATATATATATATATATATATATATATATATATATATATATATATATATATATATATAGAACCAGTTTAGAATGGGTGGCGACCATTCATCACCAACCCAAGTGACCAAGACTCCTCCTAGGACGCTCGCTGATGGTGGCCACTGATCATCTCCAATGAAGGCCACTTCAACTGATGTTTGGATTAATGTTCCTTCATTTAATATCAATTTTACATGTTTGTCCGTTTTTCTTTTAATTTTTGTTTTTTTTTTTTTTTTTTTTTTTTAATTTTTCTTTATCTCATGGCATTTTTAATATAATTTGTTAAATCAAAAAAATACATAACAAAATATAAAATAAATCGTACCATTAGAAAGACATCATAGATAAGTTCCAAATAGAACAATATTATATATTATTGATATTAATTTTAATTATAAAATTTGTAAAAAAGTAAAAGAAATATTAAAAAATCCCTTTGGTATGTACACCCTCTTCTCATGCTCAACTTAAGAGAAAAAAAAAATGATAGAAATAGGAAGAAAGTAAAAGAAAAGGGTGTTTCTAAGGAAAGAAGGAATAAAATGTTTAATTTTCATTTTTGCTTCTTCATTGAAAACACAAAAAACAAATTTTCTTTTCTTTACTCTTCTTACTGTCTTTTACTCTTCTTTTCTTCTCTTTCTCTTTGCTAAAACTCGTAGTTACATTAAATTATAATTAATACATTGAATTGTCTATATTTTATCACGTGAAAGTATTTTTGTTTTGTTTTTCATATTTTTATCTATAAATACCACTGTTTGCTAATTTAATTAAAAATTACAATAAAATCTGTATTTTATTTTAGTTTAAATTATGACGTGGAAATTATATGGATGTAATATTGCCTTTTTGTGATTTTTAAACATTAAAACAAATTCTGTGGGTCAACTATATATGAGCGAATCAAGGCGTGTGAGTAGGTGATTCAGAGATGGACCGAGTCCAGGGGAGTTTGTACGCGAGAGATTCCTTTTTTTTTAGTGTAAACAACACTATTATAGAAGCCTATATTGTAAGTGTTATAGACACAATGATATATTGATATTGATTTTAGATAAGTAAGTTTTTTAATGTTGAAATTTGGAAATTATTCAAACAAAAAAAGGTATGAATTTTACCTTTGGAAAATTCAAAAACAATAGTTGGAATATACTATGTAATATTTCCTAGCTCCATATAGACTTATGAAATTTCAAAAACAATAGTCAGTGTACATGGCATACTATATGTTCGACAATTTTGAGTACCTATATTATTTGTTGTTGACGTATCAAAATAAATCTACAACACATGAGCTCATTAATTCTTTCTTTGTATAAATATGAGGATCTTATATATTAAAGAGAATTTTGTTTTTTTAACTATCTAAAATGTAACATGTGCTTTTGTGATGTTTCATTATTCGGAGATAGGCTCTAATTCATCAAGAGAAAGCCTTGGGCGTTAAGAAATGAAGTTTGGACCCAAAAGGAATGTGGTTTGTGGGCTAAGAGAATAATGCTTCAAACTATAAGGGTTAGTTTTGGGGTGGAAGTAGTTTGAGCTTATGCTGATTTCGGCCTTGTTGGATTGTTGAAACAATCAAATGTAGATCGATAGATTTTGTAAAAGTAATGTCAATCAAAGACAAGAATGATGATCAAGAATGTGTTGAATGCTTAATATGATCAAAGCTTTAGAAGAGTTCAGTGTGAACTTTTCTGTAAAAGCTAAGTAGGGCAATTCAACTGATAACCCTAAAACCATACATGCATGCACATTAAATAGTCTAACCCTAGCAAACCATAAACATGGATGGATAGGCCCAAACCGTTACAAAATTAACAAGACTATTTAAATACAATACATTTGACACAACACAATAATTAGCCCAACAATCTCCCCCTTTGTGTCAAATAAAGAAAGGAGATTCTTCATTGTTGTACCTTTTGAACCTTGAATGGTTTGGTCATCAAATTCAGAAAGGTATTTCGAAACGTGAGATAGCACTTGATCATGTCGGTGAAGCACTTCAGATCATCAACATTGTTTGACTTTGTAGCTTCAACCAAACCTAGAATGTTATTCAGTGTAGCCATTGGGTATAGATGCTTATCGAGTAAAAAGAATATGCTTTTCACAACCTTTTTGCCTTCCCTTCGTTGATACACAACATTACAACTTTCCTTGTTGATCTCGCCTAGTTACAATTTTCAGAAGTCTTTTGATTCTGGTTCTGGTTCTGCTTTCACAACTAGCTTTTTCTTCAGAATAGCTGCAATTTCTATATCTGTCACACCCCCAAACCACGGAATGCGGAAACGTCCGGGGGTGGAAGACTTCATGTATAGTATCACAATAACGTGTATAATAGTGTTCAAAGTAAATACAACTATCATAAATATAATTGAAAAAGTTACACCAAAGTATATGTTTACATGTTTCACTCAATTACATTATGATGACAAAATGAACTGTTTGACGATTTAACGTCTCATCCTCAAAATGTTGTTGGTTTTCCTGTATAACTGATTTCCTGAGAATACAAGTAGTTTTGAAAAAGTGTCAACAATTAAGTTGGTGAGTTCATAAGCTTTTGAAAGTAAGAGTTTAAAAGCCGCTCTTTGCAATGAGTTGTATGTTACCAAGAAAATCCAATATTTTCCTTATAAAACGTTATGTAGTCTTAAAACCCAAGACTGGGTGTGCGTGAGAGTTTTGTGTTATGTGATCTCAGATATTGAGACCGAAGCGTATCAGTAAAATCCGTACTTGGTGTTATTAAAAGTGGTTTTAGATCAACATGAAAACCCTTTTTGATTTATAAAATCCCGTATACTTTAAGTTTTGTTAACTCCCTATGTGGGTCACTATAACTATACGAAGATTAACCGGTAATTTGTAATGTACCCCTTTTTGTATAAACCCGGTACTTTGTATTCGTACCCCATTTATATGAAGACCTGGTACTTTGTGATGTACCCCTTTGGTATGAACCCGGTACTTTGTATTCGTACCCCATTTATATGAAGACCCGGTACTTTGTGATGTACCCCTTTTGTATGAACCCGATATTTTGTATTCGTACCCCATTTATATGAAGACCCGGTACTTTGTGATGTACCCCTTTTTGTATAAAACCGGTACTTTGTATTTGTACCCCCCTTTTGTATAGAACCGACACTTTGTATTTGTACCCCCCTTTTGTATGAGAACCCTTTGTGATGTATATGAATATAAACTATACCTATTATAGCTTATCAAAATGTTTGTAATGTATATGCGATCTAACTATACCTAGTATAGTGTAGTATGTTTGTGTGTGGTGTATACGAACCCTTTTATGAAAACACATTAGTGCTATGAATCCATAAACTATGCATATTATAGCTTAAGGTATGTGTTCTAAATGAATGAAGAATCTTCTCATGAATGACTAAATTTCAGTTATGATGATAAACTAACCAGGAAACACATTCAATATTTAGAACTTATTGTTATACACTTTGCTCAACTTAATACAATGTGTTATGAAAGTTATAAGTTGTTAACTAGTTTTTAACCTTTCTGCACTGTTTTAGAAAAATCATAGAAAATTCATACAAAGTCGAAAACTAAATCCGTAAATTCTGAGAGTTCCTAAAATGTGTCTAGTTTATTCATAATTTTTATCATGATTTATGGAAGTCTTTAACTTGTGTTAAAATGTTCATATTCACAGACTGGTCCGGATTTGTTCTTGAAATGATAGACTGTTTTGTAAAAATCACCATACATCATAGAAAAATCATGTGGAGATGTGAAAGTATTCATTTTAAATGATAAACCTGAACTATTTCCATCTAATACAGTCTGAAAACAAAATTTTTTAGGTTGACCAAAACAGTCAGTGAATGGAGTTGAACTTTTCTGATGAAGGCTGTTAAACGCGTTATGTTGTGTTCTTGGTGTTTTAGCTTGTATTCCCTCCCTTAAAAATTAATAAAAACATGAAAAGATAGGGATATGAACTCACCTTATGTGATTTCAGTGGGTGAATGTTGAAGAAATGAAGTATTCAACTCAAGAACACTTAGAATGTTGCTAGAAGATTCGAAGATCTAACACCAATATGATTGAATTTGTGTAAGTAATCTATGATTTGGATAAAAGGAAGTGAAATAATCCTATGAAGAGTAATAATACTTACCAAAATTAGATGAAGAACTTGGAAAATAGCCCTTGAATCTCGAATTTCAGAGAGAGAATTGAGAGAGAATGGATCTTGTTCTTTTGGTGGGAAATGAGAGAAAAGTGAGGAGAGATGAGAGTTTTCCAGCCTTTGATCAAGGATGTGGCTGGAAAATGATGGGAAAAGTACAATGAAATGACTAGGTATGGTGGAAGGACAAGATTTGGTCATGGAGTGGGCATGGGGTGGTTGCTTGTGTCATACACTAAAGCAAAGTCAACACTCCACCAATAATATCCCACCCACTCTTCTTGGATAAGGATTACGCCCCAAAACATGATTAATTATGAAATAAGGGGTTTTATATGTGAAAATATGTTTCTGGTTGAAAACCCCACGCTAAAATAATTAAATTTGGGCTTAGAACGCAAAACTAGTCGAAAATCGGGAAGAAAGGCGAAATCTGCGAGACTTCTCCGTCCTGGCCGAGGTTCGGTTCTTACTGATGTTGGGCTCGAAGGCGAAGGTAGGCTAGGAGGTGAAATGAGGTGAAGGCAAAATGGACCGAAAGTAGCTTCGGCCCGAAGGTGGCTTCGGTTCGCTTGCAAGGCTCGGGCCCAAAAGGACCTTCAGGTTCGGCTCGGAAGTTTTGGCTCTTAGCTGGTTCGGTCCGAAAGGACCTTTCAGTTTCGGTCCTCCTATTTTTGGGTCTACGGCAGTTCG